ATCACACCCATCCTCGGCCATATTGTCCATGCAGTGTTCATAACTTTCAAAATTCACAGTTCCTTTCTCGAACAGGGGGCAAGTTATGTTAGTGTTCTCATGTTGAACGACCTTACAAGTAAACTGAAAAGAGCTACACGACGCAGTCACAGCGCTAACTAAGATTAATGTAAAAAATTTCCCAAGCAGCTGTAATAAGAAAGATTCATATTATGAATCTCGATTCGAGGCTATATATATAAGTGAGCAAACATTATTTAAAATATCTTTACCATTTTTTTTTTGTTTTTCTTTTTTTTTGGTTTTTTTTTTTTAAAAACTGCGCTGCCGTTAGAATCACATTAACTTCTTTCAGAGAACTGATTGAGTGCAATTTAATAAGTTTAAGCAATTTTTGCGCATATCAAACTATAATAATTATAGTTATTATAACGAAAGAAATCAACTAAGAAAATTATATTCGGCTTTGGCGAAATCTTTTATATCGAACACTATTATCGGGCAAGAAAAAGGGGGTTAAAAGAAGAAAAGGACACTCTACATTGGGTCGACTTCGAAATTAATTTACATTTTCTTACAGGGCTTACTGTCGAAAACATAAATCTCTTCAGTTCACCCTGCACCGGCATTGGTGTCTTTTGATCGATTTGAATCGCTTTCAATATCAACTCACATCCAAGAATTTTCAATGTCTTTCAACGCAATATCTTCTTTGTTATAAATTGGAGAATGACATATAGGCACATAGACCCATGAATGGTCAGATGGACAGGTCAGATCGATGTAGAATGGATGTAGTAATATGGTATGTACACGGTTCTGAGAGTCTCTGAAACTTACTTTTGAATGGAATGTAAACGTTTTGATAAAATGAACAGACTTTCTTGTCACGCTGATAGGGTATAGGGAAAAAATGCAAAATAAAGCGTTGAAAATGAACCATGAATACCTGCGAATCTTTTACTATACAATTAATTTAATTTTTTTATTTCGAAAGCACACTAGGGTATTGCGCAATTAGTAGCTCGCATCTTCAGTCGCGCAATGCAATCTTAAGATGACTTATTAACGGCATTAAATTTTTTTTATTTTATGGGCAAATTAACTCAAAAACAATACTCTTTACTTGAGAACGATGCGTAATAAATTTTATCAATTCTAGAAAAATTCTCGGGAATAGCTGAATAGTGTATTCTTTGCACGCCTAGCAATTACATATGTAATTTAATTCGTTTATGTTTACAAGTGCGCGAGCATATTATGCTTTAAATTGGTTATCTTATATATTACAGTTAAGGAGCAATAATTTGTTATTCATTTATAGCCTCCCACCATTCTTACCATGTACATTGAATGATTGATTGCAAGGACACATGAACAATTTGAAATAATATTAAATAGAATGCATTTGAATAATAAAAAAAAAAATCGTTTTTATATTTTAAACCACTTGAATATTAAGGATATATTAAGTTTGTGTGGATGTATGAAACAATTAGAAAGACTTGAGCTAAATTCATTGATCGAATTATATTGATCGAATTATAATCACTTTTCGAGTCGATTTCAATTTGTCTGTCCCTATGTCCGTCTATCCTTCTTATTTTTTTGTGGTCAATCTACAGGCCACAATTTGAGGATATTTTGACAAAATTTTGTGCAATGACGTGCTTTGGCCTAGGAACGAACGCTATTGTCGCTTAGTTCGGCTCCAATATTGTTTTTAGAAATCGTTTCATGAGTGATTGTAGGGCTTTGTGAATGGTATTTAATGATGGTTCAGGGCCCACTATAGAAGATATTAATATCTTCTCCATTACTTCCTACAACGAACTGCCTTTGTTTTCGAAAATCATTTTACGCCTTCCATGGAAACACGGCTTTTGCCCGTCAAACAAATGAAAATCTAAAACTAAAACATGAGTAAAATATTGTGGGCGTTGAAAGCTTTTTCTAGATTATCTTGAGCCACTTGTGTTCTACGGCTGTAATGATGAGCGATTGGTCAGTAGACCGGCGATCGCAGCCAGGTGATCAGCAGTTTTCTAACCATTTTAACAGTTATTCAAATGAAACTCTTTTTATAATTTCCCTTGCAGTTCCATTACTAATTTATTTTATGTAACTTAACGTAGGATGATATCGAATTTTTCCGTTTGCATTGTGAACACCATTTCGGAACGCAAGTATATTTAACTAGGTTTCTTTTTCTTAACCTTATACAGACCGAGAGTCATCGATTGAAATGAGTGAGAGTCGGAAAAATGAATATCTGACGGATATCAGCGATAGTTAGGTTAAGGCATCCATTTCCATTTTTTATGTTCGACTCAATTGCACAACAGTAGTAGGAACTTTTCAGTTGCCTATAAAGCAATAGCTTTGTCGGTTTTGAGCGACTCTTTATCGTACCACACCTTTGCTATTTATTGAAATGGCTGCCGCAAAGCCGATTACCCGACTACCAAGTCGGTGTTCGCGGGCTCAAATCTCAGTACGATTAGGACCACACTTCGCTTTCCTGTGCTTAAGTGATAGTAAAGGCATACAACACGTATCGCAAACCACTAAGCTGCAAACACCCCGTAGCTCTTTCCCTTTCTCTTTCGCAACTTTTATCTAACATTGACTGTCTTACACGGATAGACGGCATCCTCTGGGTGAATAAGAGCTTTGGGATCGTTGAAGAATTTCCAAGCTTCGCCTAAGATTTTTTACATTTCAACACATCGCAAGGTAACAGTTTTGTTGTAAACACCAGCAATCGATAAGTTTCAAGAGTAATTTTCTTCTTCTAAACTTTTTCATCGTTTCAAAAAAAAAAAAATGTTTTTACATTTCGGTGATATCACAAAAAAAAGAGGAGAATAAAGTGCGAAGGAAATACTTTGTCATACAATAGCCATAGCATTGTCCAGTGGGAAAAAGTTGTAGTTACGATTTCTCTTAAAAATCTCTTCAAATTAATGCACTCTGCCATATCCGCATTGCTATTATCTATTTATTTTCTTATTCGAGACAATTCTCGAACAGAAAAATTCCTTTCTCTGAAGGAAACAAGAATACAAATAGTCCTCGTCAGAAATTATTTATTGGCTAATATTTTTGTACTACGGTTATTGGTTTGTTCCGCCACTTGTATTTCAATTTTTATGGAAACTTTCAATTACAATTTGCTTTTCGTTATATCCATTAAGTTTTTCGAGTGTATACAGTTATAGATTAATGTATAGGATTTCTTTTCTTATTGTATCCTTTTTCTTTTTGTTCTTTTATCTTCTTTTTTCAGAATTTGTGTGTGTGCGCGCTGAACTGAAGGCTATAAAGGAATCTCTGTCTCTCAGCAGCAAAATAACAAAAAAAGAAGAAAAACAGAAGAAGAGATATAACGTGACGCTTTATTTATATATTAATTTTATGATGAAAAAATTAAACGTTTATTTAAAAAATTATGTCAATTATTTTGCATACGTCGTCGCATTTTATTAGTCGTTACTTTTGGCATTTTTAAGGGAGCTTATGAATTTCGCATCGAAAGGACAGCGTGTCCTTTAAAGCTATTTCCGATATTTGCTTATTATTATCAGCATCGAAAAGCTTGTCAGAGCTAATGGGTCGTCGATTGAAACAAATGTTAATCAGTCGATGAATATGGCAAAGTAAGTTGAATATTTTAGCTCAGTGCTTCTTCAGTACTTCTTGGAAGAGTTTTGAAATGTGCGTCGTTTGGCATGTTTACCACCCTTTCTTCTCTAATGCTCGTCTTATTGTAGGCAATGCCTCATGCCATACATGAGATAGCAAAGCGGCATTTGGCTTGAGTTTAATGGTTTGAGCGGCTTCCATGAAGGTTTTTACGCTTCTGCCTATTTTTTCCTTTGCATGCGGAAACTTGTCCTTCAACACATCTTGCAAGTGGAGCTTGCTTATGACCTTTAAAATAATGCTGCTGCATATTTTTTTCACCTTTCAAACGGACTACATTTTCAATTTCAAACTTTTTTCGTTTGCCTACGTGCTTTTGGTGTTCATGTCAAGAGGGAATGAGAATTTCCGGCAAATGGTACTTTACATGGCACATAACTCGATCTACTTAATATATCATGTTATTGCACACTCCGTAAGCTTTACACATGCATTGGCAGAAAGTCTATAGATCTTTAATATAAAGAAATCACAGAAATTTGCAGTAAGACATGCTACTGCTTCCCATCACAACAAATGTTTCCACATTCAAGTCGAATGTATATAAAAATGTTGCCGTTGTCTGCTTTCATCCCCTTCCAACAATCTTTGCGGACCATCATAGTGCCTACACGTATAGGTGACAACACCTAAGTGGCTAAGTGACTGTTCAAATATTAATAAAAAGAAAAATAAATAAACAAATAAAATTGCGATAAATTTTTAATTCTTTCTTCTTCCAGGAAGACACGAAATTATTTTCATGCATTTAATGTTGTATAGCAGCAGCATTTGTATTTGTGCTATAGTGATGCACGGTTTTATTATGGTTTAAAAAAGATGCCACCTTTGAATGGGACACCATGTTGTGTCGTTTAACTTCACATTCTTGCTCCTTTTTCGTTCTTAGGCAATGTTAGTTAAGTTAGGTTAACGATTTTCATAAAAATTATCTCTATGAGTTTTTATGTGTGTGTGAGTTATGTAGCCTATGAGTATTACTTTTATGTATTACATATATGTACATTTTATGTCTTACTAGTCCAAAAGGGAAATGATTAGACGCTCGAGTTCTCGTCTGAGATTTGTTGAAAAGTGTGCTTACAAGAGAGTTGTACTTGTACTGTCAAATGACACCAGCTGTGCAACAGAGGCAACAACTTCTCTTAGGTCAAAGTAATCAAACAGACCACCTATCGTTGGTTTCTTTTAGAGCAGCATACCGTTCGATTTGTTGAATTGACGTCGGTAGACATCGGCAGTAACAGTTTTATTCGGCTATAGCAGCCCGTACTACACTACTCCTTGTTAATCCCACCATATGCATAGCAAAGCTTCGAGTCCATGAATATTCCGCTTCGACATCGATATGGATGGCGTTGTTCGATTAGCCCCAGGATTTATTGCCCTTAAGGTTATCGCACTTTTCATTGCTATTGGAATTTCTTGTTTTTGTTCGGCAAGTCACGAAGCAGGGATGTTGAAACGGTTCGAAATGGCATTTGCTGTCAATGCGTATGTTAACCATTATTCCCCCTATTGAAATTTTCCCTTTGCATGTAAACATCCAGAAGCACTTGACTCATCGTAAAATGTCATTTTATGTAGGGAAAGTTCAAAATCATCGAATTTAACCATCATTCTACATTGATACTTTCCATTATATTATTATTCTCATTAGTAGATCTCGCTGATCAAAATACATGCAAGCACATTCTATATCCAAGTTTAAAGTATGTGGTTCGATACTATATGTTTTGGAGGAAGTGAAGAAGTAGAAAAGTTTTGTATAACATGGTTTCGATACAGTGCGGTACGAATTAATCGTGTTAAGCGAGGAACCGCCATTCATATCTTGTACGCAAGGTTAAGAAATTTGCTAAAAATACTGTAAACTACATTCAGTTCTAAGGCAGTAGCCTAAGTAGTAAGTAAATATCATAAATGAGAATGCAAAACTAAATTCAATGATATCCGTTGAGAAAGTTTAACTCTTTATACTCATTAATACTGTAAATTACTATTGAGTTATTGTTATTACTGCGAATTGCAACAAAATTAGCAAACAATGAAAGACTAACCATCTGGTAGTCATAGATTTCTTTGCTAAAAAATTTCCAACGATGAATAAAACGACAATGATGACTATAAAAAAAGAAGAGTCCGATCAACTTCCAATGCAAAACTTATGCTATGCATACATATATATACATATGTATACATTGAATCCAATGGACAACTCTTAAGAGAGAAAACACAATCGGTACTTACGTATTAACGTTACCGCGGCAAAAATATTATTATTATTATTTTATTATATTATTATTTTTATTATTATTTTATTATATTATTATTATATTCAGAAACCAAAAAAACTTTTTTTAAAACTTTCAAAGAATTGCTTTTTATTGGTTTTTTAATGGAATTTTTGCTGCGGTGGCGTTAATACGTAAGTACGGTGCAATCAGAGAAGAGACGTTTAGCCTATGCGAAATTGATTGAGTTTCTGAATAGCATTGTCAACGAAGTCGCTAACGTACGAGTTTGTATTCAGCCAGAAGAAATAGATGACTTACAACCAAACGATATGATGATACAATCATTGAAGGTAAGAATCATGGAAAAGGCAGATTCTGTCGACGATGAATAAATGGTTCTTCTAATGTGAATGTGTGGAACGATACATGCTTTCTCTCTATATTATCATGTGCTTAACTTTAACAATCGTTGATCCAACTTGCAAAGTAATCTTGTGTCAGCTTGCAGAGGAAAGTTTTTTTTTGGAATAAAATTCTTCGTCGATTATTCTCATGTGCTTATAAGCAGGGAATGTGACTCCTGATGCAAAGGCTTCCACATCTTTCGGACTCTTCCAGTTTGGTTCCCTCTAATATCGTGTTTGTGTAGAGCGTTCTCTGCTACTGAAGCAGAGAACGCTCGTAATTTTTTCTGAGTCACTGAGTGCGCCCTGTGTTGCTGAGGAATTAATTTAATAAAAATCCACTTACCTTGTTCGCGGTTCAGGGCATTTGTTATACAAGGAAGACAACTAAAGGTTTCGTTAATTCTTCTCTAATAATATTGCATAAGTAGTAAATATAGATAACATAAAATTGATATAAACAAGAGATTAAATGGAAATCCATGTCTAACTATCTTTATTAAGAATTTTTCATTGATCGCATTTGTTAGTATCGCAAGCACACTGTTGTTAAGGTTGGCAATTTAATCGAATGTTGCGATTTTAAGCATTTTTTTTTTTGTTTTGTTATAAAATTTCAATTCAACACATGATGTCTGATATAGAAATTGTTCTAATCCTTTCTTAATGCTTAAATAAGTAAATAGTGCATAAATATCTGATGAAATGAACGAACAAGTTGTAGATCCTTGGCATTTGCTATACACAAGCGATATCAATGTTGTAAGCCACTATTATCATCATGAGATGAGAAAAAAAGGACCAATCTCACTTAATTCTCGATTTAAATACATGCACAACTACATAGATGCATAAACGAATATCGTGCATATGTAAATGTCAGAGATTTACATATATGTTGTGGATACACATATTTCACTGAATAAGTATATGCGAGCATATGCACATACATTTACGGAATAGTGAAAACAAATCTTTGCCACTATATGCGTAAACATATTAAGTTATAGATGGTATACATGCATACATTCATACATTCATACATACATACATACATACATAGGTAAAGACATGCATATATGCATACATGAATTCATGGATACATGCATGAATGCACACATAATATTATAGAATTTCATTTGCATACATTTGGATGAACGTTAAACAACAATTCGTATTTGTGTTCTTTACTTGCATACGCAGAGTTAAACGGAAGTTGTGGCAAAACGAAAACATAAGTGAAGACAGCACCGATAATAAAAAACAAAAAAGAAAGAAAGGAGAAAAAAAAAAAACAAAAGAAAAAGTAAAAGCAAAAATTTTTAAAAAACCAAGAATGCATTTCAAGTGGAAACGTACAAATATGGAAAATTTTCAAAAAATTATATGCATTTGGTTGTGTTGTGTTTACTGCATGTTTGGACGTACGCAACTAATGACAGCGCCGACGGTAGCAGCTGCGGCAGCAGGTATGTATGTCAATAAACTTCAGTCTCGTAATAAATTTAAAAAAAAAAAAAAAAAAAAAAGAAGAAGAAGAAGAAGAAGAAATATATTGAAGCAATGCACGTGTGAAAGATGAATGCTTTCGATGCTGGATGATTGACATAAAATGTGTTTCCTCTGTTATTAATTCTTATCCAACTTGAAGTTTCCTCTTAATGGTCTTGATTTTGTTTCATGTTTTTCTTATTTTTTTCGTTTTTTTTTTTTACTTTTTTAATGCTTTCCATATGTAGTTCCCTATGAGTATTTCGATGATCATGATTCATTGCTATATGACTTGGATAGCGAACAAATCCAGGCTAAATATGATACACGTTTGCTGTCGGAGCAATTGCTGAAAACTGAACGACAACATAAGCATCATCATAAAAAGCGGTTTAATATTGATGCAGATGTTATGAGTGACGGAGATGATGATAGTCGTATGGTCGAATTTAACCAGCAGCACGATGATGCCATTATTGATATGAATGCTAAGGCCAATGTACCTCAGGTCAATGCATTGAAGCAGCTCAAGAGTTCAACACTTGCTGGCAAATCGTCAACGCGCCAAACCTCTAATATGGAAAATGATAACACAAACGATGACGATGATAATGATGATAATGATGATGATGATGATGATGAAAGACTTGGTGACGTTGCTGATGTTGGTATTGATGATAAAAATAATAATGATAATGATAATGATGATGATGGTAATGATGACGATGACAATGATGATTTAGAGCCACATGAACGTGCCGCTTCATGTTATACGGGTGGCGAACGTTACACTCATGGCCAAAAGGTATGATGATTGATACGATATATGTAAATGCGCTTATAATTGAATTTTGTTTACCAGCATTGTTTTCACATTTTTGCTGATGACATTTTCACAGATTATAATGGCATTGCCCTGCATTATTTTCTTTTCTATTTTCAATTCTATGCAAGAACACAACAAGAACAAAAAAAAAAAGAAAAAAAAAAGAAGAAGAGTTTCATTCATTCTGTCATGCAGAAAAATTTATCTATTATACATATACATACATACATATATTCTTTGGACAACATCTGGTTACCATGATTCGTAATATATAATTCCATTCATGTTTACTCAAAAGGAGTAATGGAGCATTTCAATTGAAAATATATTTCGTTATTCTAGTAAATCAAAGTTTTATAGAAGAAGTTTTTGCTTTTGTTCGGTATTTGTTATGAGTTTTGACTATTTTGCATTTAACCAGAATAATAATAATAATAATAATAATAATAATAATAATAATAAGAAGAAGAAGAAAATAATAACTTAACTGTATTTATAACAAATCAAGAAAAAAAAAAAAAAAAACAATATTTTAATAGGGTTAAGAGCTCTTCTTGTATACTTTATATTTCAATTATATCCTTAAGGCGTTTTAAATAACCTCATTTTACAAGTTGAAATGCACAGAAAAGCTTTGAACTTGCATTCAACGAGTGGTTTATTGCTTTCCTATGCACATCAACCACTCTTGGAAACTTGTAAAGAGTATTATTATGAAGCATTTATTTATAAGCTTCAAGATGAGATAAGTATTCGCCTTGGGGTATGGCTAAGATAAACACATGAAATATGAATAACATGAATGAATGGATTTATAAGAAACGGATTCAAGTCACGCTTTAGTTTTGGCGACTCTCTAAGCTCCTAAATCTTTGCATAAATTTGTTTGGTTTGTTTAAGCGAAAAAAAAAATTGGTTAATTGTGTTATATAATATTACCGACACACACACACACACACAACTCATTTTGTGTGTACACGCAATGTGTATGCGTTGAGCATAATAATTTCTACATAATGGCAATTAGTGCGGCTTTTTCTCATTTCGCACAATTCTTTACTTATTTCTATCCTCCATTGTTCTTAATTATATTTTTGGTTTGTTTAACTTGCTCTTGCACACTTGTGGGTGATATTTTAATACATGCGGTCACTGTTGTTGTGTTTTATGAACACCACGCTGATATTTGGGCATGAGAATACAAAGAGATGTTCGTTGGACGAAGCATGTGAACACAGATGCAGTCAAGGCCTTAGGTTTTTTAAAGCGGTGTAAAAATTCACTGCATCCTGCTGATATCCGCTGCCCGTATACGGCCAAGGGCACGAGCCTTCACGCTTGGCTTGAAGAACCGCATAATCGTAGCCAAAACCCTTAAGTACTCATGGGCGACAAAAATATGTGCAACATTGCCACACTTAAACATCGACCTAATACGGGCTGTGTTGTTCTCATATACACGGATATAAAGGGCAAGTGATCTAGAGAGAGAGAGAGAGAGAGAGAGAGAGAGAGAGAGAGAGAGAGAGA